ACTTATTTTCTGATGCTCCAATATGCATCTATGGGTAGGGTACTTTTCAGCCAATTTGAATGATTGTTTTAAAATTAAGCTTTATTTTCTCTGGATCTTTTCAGGTTTTGTATGTATATTTTAATCAATTAGTCTAGGTTCATAGGAATTTATTTCACAACTTGAAGATTTCTTCAATATATACATTTGTACCCCTGGGATGTTTCAAATCCTATTAAATTTTACTTTTATTTTCTCTGGTTCTTTTGAAAGACAAGACATTGGCTGAATTGGCTTGTTATTTTGGTTAGGAATGTTAGGCCATGATTCCACCCAAATTCAAAAACACAAGTGAAAAAAATAATTGTTCAATTCTTGAATTCCTAGTCATTGCTTTCTTGCACCCAGAGACTGTTTTGCTATTCGGGACCCTCCTCACAGATGGAAGATGATGGAGAGAAGAACCAGGCATCATAAAATTGGGTGCCAGACACAATTTACATCATCATTGTTTTCCAGCTATTGGCACATTGGACTTCATTAGGATACCATTAGAATTAAGAACTCACGCTATTATTTGAAAAGGTAATTAATCTTTAATGTTTAATGTAATCTTGATTACAGGTATAGTTGATGTTGATTGGGCTAAAAGTTTGGTTAATAATCAGTTTACCTAATAATATCAGTCTCAGTCATGAGAAGCAAAAATGCCTACAGATTTAATAGACTTGTGAAGCTTAAATACATTCATTTACTTATGGTATTTTAGAACAAGGTAAATTACATAGTCTTGGAGAGTAGTGGATTCTCCTCGAGATAAAACTTATAGAAACTGAGAATTGTGCTCAGTCTACCTTGTTCTGTCAGAGTTACACCTTGAGTATTAGAGATTCATTAACAGCATCCTGAATACATGTCTTTTTTTGTTGTTGTTGCTGTCCTTGGACTAAAGATGAGAGAATAATATGGGGGGGGAGAGAGAGAGAGAGCGAAAGCGCAAAAAGGATATATTGGATTTCCCATCACTCCTTATCTAGACCTTTAGAGGCAAAAATCATAATAGTTTTTGTTTCCTGATGTTTTACTGAGTTCTTACTACAATTTGGATTACACCTATTAACACAGTTTCATCTTAAATACAAGGGAAAAAGAAAAACACATGCCTCAGAGAAAAGTCATAAATTCTCTATACATTGCATGACCTCTCTGAGAAGTTAGTTCAATATGCAGAAGACAAGAAAAATTAGCCTGACTTATTCTGGTATGGATTATCTAATATGTTTATAAAATCATTATTGGGCAAGTGTTACAGAAGTTGTTTCAAATTATGCATCACTTTGAACAAACTTTATTGAAGCTTTTACTGCATTAGCCCTAATTACTTACAATAATGATGTGGTGCTCCCCTGAATCAGACCTCCTTTCCCGTGCCAGGGGATTGCAGCCGATCAATAGCCATTGAGCAGTTTGATCATGCACGCTGACCTGCTGGAGCACTGGTGGCAGCCACTGCTATCCCTACCTCTCCCTTCCCAGTCTCCCAGTAGCTCATGAACTGACATGTTTTCAGTGGCCACACTCTCCTGTGTCTTCGCTGTCCCTCCAACAAATCAATAACTTCACAATCAGTATGCATCTCAGACTCTGAGAAACAAAAAAAGTGCCTTAAAAATACTCACGGGAGGGGTGTTCCCTGGTTCATGCGTATGTCCATGTGTTTCTCCTGCACTTAAGCTAGGACAGACTTTTAAACCTTTTACCCACACTCACTCATTTCTCTCATATCATAGATTTATAAAACAAGGTGAGAAATGTTCCTTTTTTTAAAAAAACAAAACTACAGATCAATTATTTGGCAAGTATCTACCAACAACCTACAATGTGCCTGTTAATTGTTTTCTGTTTGATTGTTAAGTACTTTCAAGATTGAGCATGTCTTTTTCCGACATCTCCCATCTTGCTCATACTGGAGAGGCACACAGCTCCTGTTCTCCATTATTCATTTTATGCAGTGATTATTTATTGAGTATCTACTATATGTCAGGAACTGTGCTAGGTCATTTAGCATTCATTATTTTTTTAAAAGGAATTTCTAGTTAATTAGATTATTTCAATATCTTCTTATCTCTCAGTGATTTCTTGAATTAATTTTGCCTTGTTTACCACTTAGTCTAACTTTTATTTCTTTTTTTTTCTACTTCTTCAGAACTATACTATAGAAATGACTATCTGTTAGGAAATAGGCTTTCAATAAATTGATTTCTGTATAAAGCCAGAAGATGATGACAGGCACTCTAAAGAAAACAAAAATCAAGCGAGGGGTCTCATCAGAAATAGATATGACTATGGCACCCAATTAAATGAAATCAAATGCAGAAACTTGGTTTTGGTGAGCACAATCTACTCCATCAGACTATTCTCCAAAGTCGAGGTTCATAGTTAGAAACAAATCTGCTTTTGCTCATGTTGAGCCTATGACAGAAGTGGGGTTCCATTGTAATCAACCAGTAAATCAGAAAAAATTGGGTTCCCATCCAATAGTATGACCTCAGGCAAATCTGTGCATCTCAGGAGGTATCTGTCTCTTCACGTGTGAAACAGAGCATTGGACACAAGCCCAGCTAGTGTGTTCCCAACTCTCTCAGGTTTGTGGGAAACCATTTATCTGTGGGGAGTGAAATCTCAGGAAGGTCTGGCTTCCAGCACCTGGGGAGATCTCTGGCTTGTTTCCCCCCAAAAGTTCTGCTCGGCAGCCTGAGATCCGGAAATGAACCAAATCTGTACAATTCTCATGAGGGTCTCATTTTTAGTATTGCCAAAACTAAACAGCCTGTTCCCGCATCCTGAAACAGGAGAGTTTTGGCTTAGCTCTGATTACAGGAGAGGCAGGTTTAAAAGTCTAATACCCACCCGTTTCTTTCTCCTGCTCGGCATATGTGTCCATTACTGGGTACAAGCGTATATAAGCATGTCATCTAAGAATGGTGTCACTCACACTGAGTGGAAAGACTGCAGGGTAGAAAACTGGGGTACCACTTATCTTTGTCCCCCAGAAAATATTTATGTTTGGCCCACAAAGGCAGAACAGGCTGATTTCTGACTCCATAAAGGCAGGGGTTGCATGCTTAACTGACAAGGTTGAATAAAAAATTAGCAGGGTCGGTAGTGAAGTCCACAGATCAAATCTTTTACTTTAGCTAAGTGATGTCTTCCCAGAGTTTCAGTCCTGACACCAGTTTCCCCTTCCGGAAGTCTGCCCACATGCTTCCCTCTTCCCTTTCACAAAAGTGCCACTGTTCCATCAAGACTCGGGGGCGGCCCTCCCCCATTCCTTTCTGACTTTCCTTTCTTTGATATCTTATTCTCCTTGTTGACATCATTTACCTGCCATTTCTACCAAAAAAAAAAAAAAAAAACCAAAAAAAAAAAAAACAACTTTCACACCCAATATGTGAAAGGCACAAAGGTTCATGATCCCATTCCTTTAAAGCAAGATATTTTTCAAATGAACGGAGAGAATCCTGTGTCCATAATAAGTTCAAAAGCTAGTCCCAGAAAAACAAGTCATGTGATCAAATAAGATTGTGGAATTCTGTGCCTCCCCTCCCAGGGCCTAACAATGAGAACAGGTCACTCAAACACCCAGAAAATTCTTGCAGGAAGGAAGGCAGCATTACCTACACTCGCTTCACACACACACACACACACACACATACACACACTAATAAATAAATAACATTTCACAAGAACATCTGCCAATATTTTGCTGAATTCAATTTAGGAAGTGTCCTTCCAAGTATTTCTTTCTGTTATTTTAATTGTGCTCATTTTCTGGTTACTAGTGATTTCCACGAAGGAGGTGGGAATACAGACAAGTTCTCTGCCTAAAGCCACCTGCTGAATGAGAAGATGAGTTTGGAGTGAATATCAATAATGAGTTTCCTCTTGGGTTTCTGATCATGACAGGCATTTCTAAATGCTGTAGCAGGCTTACCACATTTATTTATTTATTCAGCAGATATCAATGGAAGGTGCCTTCCTTCTGCTTTTCATAAAGAGAGGAAGAATCTAATCATGGACCCTGCCTCTTACTTGTGTACAACTTTGTTACAGGGGAGAAGCTAAACAGGGGGCCTTTTCTTATGCTGTCTGTCAGAAGATAATAAAGGCACAGGAGAGACAATGGTCACTAAAGGTGTTTGTAGAGTCATGCCAGCTGAGCCTTGAAGAGCTACAGGATGTAAGTGAGAAGCAAGAGTGTCCCCAAGTACAAGTGTTAAGTCACACCAAGGCCCGTGCACCTGGTGGCAGAGGTGAGATTGGCAAAGCGAGGTTGGCACAGGGGCTGGGGGAGATGGTGGTGTGGGGTGTAGAACAGGGCAGGGGTGGAAGGGGTCAGGCTGCAGAGAACTAAGGATATCTGAATAAGGAATTCAACTACTGTTAAGGATTCTGGAAATGATAGAGGAGTTGGTGAAATTGTGGGGTGGAATGTAGCAAGGCTTCAAGTAAACTCTGTGACTGCCATTTTTCAACAGTGATGAGCACACAGGGTGATGAAATGCAGGGTGGGAGAATATAGGCTTTGGAATCCTGACTGTCCTCAGGTTGCTGGGGCAAGTGCCTTTCCTCTTAGCTTCCTCTTGTGAAGATGAGGATAGATATAAGAGCTTTTTGCAAGATATATGAATAATGTGCATAAGGCCTTTGATGCAGAGACTAATAATTAATAAGGCTAATAAAGAGGAATAAATATTGTTATCATATAGTTGGTCCTCATTGGACCAGTACTAGAATAAACTGGAAAGTTGTAGAGAGCGTCCCTACCTCCAGGCTCCATGTTTAATCTGCTTTTCTTCTTCCCATGAGCAAAACCCAGTGCTGAGCTGCTCCCTTGCTCAGCGTCCATGGGAGTTGGCTCAATAGAGAACTCTTACCTGCACTCAACAGGTCACTCCTAGTGGGACTGCTCCTCCCCCATCTTCATGGTGGCGAACCCCAAACACTTGAAAACTACTCACCTGCATCTGATGTTGCTGCGGATGCGGCGAGGAGAGACAACATCGGGGTGGATGGAATTGCAACACTGTCAACTACAGCTGGCTTCTTCCTGGTCATCCCGGTGGACGCTGAGCCCTCGTTCTTACTATGCACTGTCGTCTGGTCCACTTTTAAGTGGGGACTTGGCATCCCTAAAAAACAACCCAAAACCTGCTGTTGATTTAAAGGAACAGGATGACTAACAACATAAAATCTAAATATGATCCTGCGAAATAGTACAATGATTTGAACTCCTTCTGGTACCAAAAAAAATGACATTTTAGAAAATTTGAAGGAAAAGAAATAGCCATAACCATGACTGGCTTTGTGGCTGAGGTTAGGAGTGATGTCATTCCAGGTTGGCTGCCTGGAAGTGGGGGCCGGGCACAGGCCTAGTGAAAGAGGATATGCATCAGGCCCCCATTAGCCTTTGGAAGATCAAGCAACCCATCTTTACAAAGGTTATGCTGTGCAGAATAAAGGGGGTTCCTATGGTTTCCACCCCAGCGAGGCTGCTCATCGCAGCTGGGTAGATGAGACTAAATGAGAAGGAAAAGCTGTGGTGCAGGTGCACACAAGTTCATGTATCATTCGTCCTAGGTGCTCGGAAGGTTCTTAGGCTGCAGAAAGCAGTGTGGGGAGAGGGGAGGCAAGGCTTGGCAGAGCTTATTTTAGATCAGCAAGGAGAGCACATGGGAGAATGGGCAGGATCCAGAGGGAATCAACCTGGGTGCCCTGGACCGATGAATGGATGAAGAAAATATGGTATATATATTTATATACACAATGAAATATTATTCATCCATCTAGAAGAATAAAATCTTGTCATTTGCATCAAGATGAGTTTATGGAACTGGAGGAGTTTATGTTAAGTGAAATAATTCAGACACATCTGAATGTAGAATAGTAATCACTAGAGGCTGGGAAGGGGGGACGATGGCTAAAAGGAGGCTGTATTCAAGCAGGGCATCTGTATGAATGGATCAAAATAGCACACTGAATCCTATTAATATGTACAAGTAATATATGTACAAAAAAAAAAAAAAACAGCCTGCTGGAGCAGGAAATGTATTGTGGAGACTGGTGCGTGTCAATAGTCACAAGGCTAAGGACATGCCAAACTGGGGGCCTTTGAAGGTTTGAGCCTAACAAGCATCCCAAGACTTGTCTTGATGATGCTGAAAAGCCTGGTAGACTCATGAGCTGTTCTGAAACTTTGTTCCTGAGCTTGAACTTAGATGCTGCCACTTTTCAGTTGTGAAATCAAGAGCAAGTTACTCAACCTACAGTTATTTAAAACTACAGTTTCAACCCTTATGTTTTTATAACTTTAAAAGTTGGAATGGGCTTTGCCTGGGCAAAGGGAAGGGAGGGTAGCGGAAGGGGCACAGGAGCAGGAAAGGTGGTGGAATGTGATGGACATCATTACTCTAGGTACATGTATGACTGCTCATATGGTGTGATGATACATCGTGTACAACCAAAGAAACGAAAAGTTGTGCTCCAATTGAGTACAATAAATTTAAACGCATTCTGCTGTCATATATACCTAATTAGAACAAATTAATTAATTGAAAAAAACGTGGAATGGTTCCCAGCAGCTCAGGAGGCTGAGGCAGGAGGAGTGCTAGTTCAAAGCCAGCCTCAGCAACTTAGTGATGCCCTCTTAATGTGACCCTGTCTCAAAAAAAAAAAAAAAAAAAGAAAGAAAAAAAAGAAAGAAAGAAAACCCCCAAACAGAAGTGGAATGGTAACAGTACTATTTTGTTGGATTTTTTTGAGAGAATTCAATGAGTCAATTAATGTAAGGTGCTTAGAACAATATCTGTCACATAGTCTATACTACTTAGCCATTGTCATCATCATTATTATCACTTATATCATAATTATTATAATCCACTGCTTCCTCAGAACTAATTTTAACCAGTAAGCAAAAGTTTAGTTCTCTTTCCGGACATGACCAAAGTGACCCTTCACCAATGGGCAGGTATTCAGGGTCTCCTCATCTGTGGGCTACACACCACTGACAGCAGCAACAACAAACTGGGCTTTATCACGTATTTCTTGACACTTTTTTTTTTCCAATGCAACCAACCTTTGCACAGTACCATTATCTCACTGCCACAGTGAGATCAGCTTCACTTGGGCCTTGTGACAACCCTGTGAAGCATGTGGTGTGGATATTACTGTTTTCTCAGTTTTACAGATGAGGAGAAAACATTTCTGAGAGCTTAAAGGAAAGCTGAATAAACTCATACTGTTCTTTATGTCAGAGCTGGAAGTTTCTAGAAAAATAGATGCAAAACCCAGGATCATCTTGGTCCGCCTGGCTGTACTCTGTAACACCTAATCACCACCCCAGTCTGTTGAAGCATGTTTCAGGCTGAGGACACAGACACTGTAGTATCATACCTGGAAAAGGCACTTGTAACGACCTAAGGAGAAACCCACACTGACATTTTACTTTGCCTTCTATTAACTTCACCTCATTTCCCACCCTGGTCTCTGACACACCCGCTTAAGATGCCACATTTAAATAGTAAAGCCATCTATGCTTTTTCTGAATTTTATATTTCATGGTGTCTTGAAGGTGAAGATAAACAAATATCAAATTCTATGACAGAAAGATTGCAAGGCACAACCATTGAGATACACAAACATGGGTAGGTGTGGTTATTTACACAAATTTGTGCATATATGCTGGTAAAATATGCAGATGTGCTAGTGGCAGGCTAGAAACAAACATCTAATATCCTTGAAGTGCATCGAGGATCATCTGTAAGGAAATGTATCCAAGCAGTGGTGGTGACTTTGAGTCCAGAGAGCTCAGGGAGGATTGATGGGGAGAGAGTGTCCACTTTTACTCCCTAGCTTCTTTATTGTTAATATATTTTAAAAAATCTAAATATGTGCTAAACTTTCTTTTTCTACTGAGAAAATACACATAGTTTGGGGGAAATCTAGAAATCTATCAGAGCATGGGCACTGGGGTAGAATGACTGATGAGCCTGAACACCTGGCTGCTAACAAATCTGATGCTGGGGAGAGTAGGCAGCAGTCTGATGACAATTCTCTGTTTTGATCCTCTGCACCACCACAGTGTGATTCCCTCTGAATAGAGGCAGGCAGATCCTCTCTGGCACCTCTAGAGCAATAGAACACAGTCCTATTGGATAACTGCTCCTTTGGAAAAACTCACTGTTAAGCCATCTCTGTACCTGTGGACACAGGTTGGGCAGGTACTTCTTTAAATGATGATATGCATGGGGAATGAAGGCAATAAAAGAATATTTAACCCTCACTTGGGAACAAATCAATTTCAAGTCATTTTAGATGTACCCATTTTCATGCAAATGTTCACAATCTAAATGAGTCTCAGTCCACATCATCTCATTAAAGTTGATCTGATGATACCTCTATTGGGCATACTTTGCTACTCAAGTGTTTGTGTTACAGAATATGTTAAACATAATAAGATGACACTTAAAACACTCTGTCATTCAGATTGTCACTATTTGGCTTTTTCAAAAACCCTTAGATAATTTAAGATTTCCCCGATTCTATTACTGCTTGCGAGTTGTCAATTTGGGGAAACAAATTGAAGAAGGAAAAAAAAAAAACAACAAAAAAAACACCAGGCCTGACTTTTTCTCAGTAATTTTTCGATTTCGAAAGGATAATGGAAACAATCCCAGAAATAACATACACGGGTGAGAGTAATAGATATTTTCAACAAAGGCTAATCTAGGAACACTTAATAATTGATGAAATGTGCCTGAGAGCAGAGGTCTGGAGAGATGGAACGGGTGACTGCTCCTTGGGAGAGGGTACGGGGCAGGTGGCCACAGGGGGCTTTGTTTCCCTTCATTCCAGGTGGCATCTGATGCTCCTGGGTGTGAGGCCAAAGTGGTGGGACATCTGGAGAGTTTCTTCCCAGCATGAGCTTGGTTTCTCTCTCTCTCCATAGGAGGAAGGTTTTAGAGGCTGGAGCTTCATCACACACACACTCACACACTCACACACACACATACACAAAAGGAATCCTAATAAAGCCTTATACTGGTTGGACCACTGAGATGTAGCTCCCCTGCTTATACGGGGGCATGAGAAAAGTCAGGGGTGACTTGGATCTGGCAAGCGATCTCTGTCTAAATTCAGGCAGCAGACTGTTTGAAGGCTCTTAGTGGAGTTCAGAGCATGCCTATGCCCCCATACAACACATGCCACACTGAAGTTTGCATATTTGGAGGCCGGTATGTTTTTAAAGGAGGAAATAACAATGCTAATAACTTTGTGGATCCAACATCTGTTCATAATTAAGAGAAAGAGCTAAGAGGAAATAGAAGAAGTTAAACCTATATGAAACCATCCAGCTATAACCTATTGACCTCTATTGATAAATTTGTTTTTCTAAAAAGTCTTTGAAACTGTGCGGTAGCCTATCAAGGGACAGTCACTCATTTTTAAAGGTAATTTCTCATAGACCACTTATCCCCTCAAACCTCTACCTGCACACCGTGTTTGCATTAGGGACTTGATTTATGGATTCCAACTCCTGCGATGCAGAAGCTGACTTCCTGTTGCCTTGGTTACTTGGAGCTCAGTTCAAGGTTAAACTACTCCCAAATCAAAATCAGTAGCAGGCTGTATCTAGTGGCCAGGTTATTGACTGCCCCAGGATGCAAAAAGGTCAGAGACCAAAGCACTGCTTACTGCCTTAAGGTGAGTCAATAGCTTCAATATTTTGATTCAGTTTCTTCGGAAGTAGTAGTTGCTGCTCAATTACCTCTTCCCCAGGTTGCTCAAGGTCAAAGGGGTCATAGCAGAAAAGCAGGGTCTATGGTGTCTGACTTTCCCAGGATCCCTTTAATGAGCTTTGTGACCTTGGATAATAAAAACCAGCCTCCCCTTAGAGTCATTTGAACGTTGCTCTAAGGTTTACAAAGCTAGTTATCTACTTTGCCTCATTCTTCATAGGGAAAAAATAAATAAAAACCCTTGTGGATGGCTACTATTTAGTCCTATTTCTTAGAGGAGAAGTTGAAGTTTCGGAAAGGTCATGTGATTTTTCTAAAATCACAATTGGTAGGAGATGGCACTATCTAAGATCCTCTGACTTGCTGCTGGGTCCTGATTCCACAGGGTTTCCTTA